GATGTGCTCATGCGCACACTTTCTTATTTATGGAGATATTTCTTTGAAATTTGACCCGTAAATGCCTCTAATAAAGAAAAATATAGCGCACATAGCTATGGCCTTTTGGAAAGTACTGACCAATTCATGGAAAACGCGCTAAAAAACATTTTTACTTGCTTTAATCTGTTCCTAATTTAATTGAACCGCGTCTTCGGCTCCGTCTTAAAACCAGGAATTAAGTATGAAGTTTTCGATTAATGTGGAATGGATCGTCGCTCGTGAGTGGTAAATGAGTTTTACACATGATAATGCCTACCCTTTACCCTACATTTTGCCCATTTCCGATTTGTTCAATTACAAATTCGAATCTCTTACGTATTCACATTTACTTTACGGTTCAAAAGTTATTGCTCCTTCAATGGCACTCATATCTACTAATAAAACGAATAAATTAAAGGTTACGCTGTAATTTATATAAGCATTAGCAATAATTGGCAATCCTTTCGTAATTAAATAAATTAGAAGGGTATCAAATTTCATGAAAATTATTGAAGAATTCCAATTGATCGACGGATATTAAATCCTACACGTTATATAAGTTGTTTACTGTTCGATTCCTCACGCACGATAGTCTAATTAAGTTATTATCTTCCAATTACAGTGATCAATGACTCACCGCGCCAAATTTTCGATTTTCAGTTCGCAAAAAAACCCACAAATTTAGCTACGCCTCGTTAACTCCTCGATTGCCACATTCGAACGGACGGATTCGATTCGAAATTTCGGTTGAATTTCACACAATACGAAATCGGGCCAAATATGGTTATGATAGAGGAAATTTGATCGACCGCCATATGGGGAGACCGCATTACAAAATAGTAATATCGAATGACTATTTGAAATTCTTTTGCTATTAATACTTTTGCTTTCACTTCATCGAAAATTTGACTAATTACAGATTTAAGTGCGATGACCGTGAACTTTGCGACAATTTCCAACTTCGGAGCCCAAGGGGGGGCTGAAAAACAAAGCGTCGTTTCGACTAATTTAATTTAATTACACGAATGGGTAGCTTTCTACTTCCGAAGTCGAAAAATTAAATAAGAAGTTTACAACCAATTAAATTTAAATATCCAACTGTAACTCGATAATAACGCAACATGAAATTGTTGCTCTATTGTTTATTCAAAACAATTGATTGTTTATGGCCGTAGCCTAGCAATCTTCGACTTTCTACGCCGTCGTGAGGTTTCCGAATTCGTAAAAACGCGTGGGAATAGAAATCAATATCGATTCCGTTTTTGTTTAGTGTTTTTTTCGTTTAAATTCAGCGCGGGCGTCGCCCCACCGGCACTCGACGCCGCTGCGATCGCCTCCGATTGATTCGTTCAGAACGGGAGTTCAAAACAATTACGCCCGGTGCTTGCTATTTTGCAACAGACGGTGGCCGTTACTTTCGAAAAAAAACTGTTACTGTTTTATGTCTTAAAATTGCACCACTTTTGCCAAACAGTTCGATCAACGAAGCCTGAAAAATGACCTCAAATTCTTCACCTTTAATTGCGCTGTATTTCTAATTTTCAATTTTATAATTTTCAAAACGTGAGACAGATTTTTGTAGAAGTATATCTATCAAGGCGTCTTCTGTCGCTGATGAGTTTTTTCCCCGTTTGGTATCTGAACCTTGATGCCTTTTTAAATGACGAATGTATTTCAGGGGGCTTTCTCCCTACTCTTATTAAGCTGGACCTTACGTTGCTGATGAAATGTTTACTCGTTTGGTGTCTGAACCTTCATTTTTAGTGATCTCTTAAATTACAAATTCATTAAAAACTCGTTGGAGTGCGAGGTTGAGGGTATATCGTATCGACGGTGCATTTTGGGTTGCGGCGGTAAGGGGTTTTAGGTATCTGTTACACTCCCTCTCTATCTCCTGCGTCTCGACGAAGAATTAACTGCTAACACTTGACATAATTCTTGGGCACGAAAAGAAAAATCTTGTCATGAAAAACTCTACCCGGGTCGCACAATGGATTCGAATAAACACACAATATTAATTGATTGTCAATGTTAAAAATTTATTTCGAAACAAAAAAGCAAAATCCCTGAAAGAAAGAAAGGCTCGGAAAGTTTGTTTTGACATATTACCTCGCACGCAGGCGGTCTACAATTAAAATTACTTACGGTTTTTTCTTGATAATACTGATCTGGATTTTTGAATAAAAATAAAATGGCTATCCAGACGGTAGAAACTTTTAAACATTCAATAAGAAGAGAACCTTAAACAAAAGCACTCGCTGTACTACAACTGCATTTTCTACTAGAACAAAATTTTTCCCGTAATTATTCGAACTTTAGTTGACTTTCATCTGCACAAATTTATTATTAAAATGACGAACTGCGCCTTCAACAAAAGAAATAGGACTCACGGCCCGTAAAAAATTGGCGTATACATATGGATGCGCTTTTCAACCGTCGCGAACCTAGCAGCAGCTTAGTTTTTACGTTTACTCCAGTATTTAAGAAAACCATAAAAGAATCTGCTTCTTTATGAATCTTCAAATAAATCGCCGATCAACGCGCCACTTCTTGAAACGAGTAACACCTTATCTCTTAACAGCGATAAAGCACGTGCGTTAATTAATTTTCGCCTGAAAAAATTCCTTATCGCAACGAACAGATGTGTCTTACTGCTAACACCTTATCTAAATTATTTGTTGGAAATGGAGCTGCTGTCTACTCTTGGGCTTGTGGAATGTCGATCAGGTACATGTTTAATATAACGCTGGCGATAGGCATTTTCCTTGTGGCACTCCTGGCTTTCTTCCGACAACTGATGCTCTATTCTGACATTCTGACCACAGCGTAGTGGCGTAGGGTGGTTGTATTGTGGTGGCAGTGCGATGTAAGTTGGCGCTGGAGCGAGGGGTGCTGGTTTCTTCGGGTTGGCGGAGCGGGCCGGTGGCGCAGGTGGTGTTTTCGGTGAAGAGATCGGTGGCCGCGCAATCTCGGTGGTGGTGGTTCAAGGTTGGTGCTTCGTGATGCCGTGCTATTCTTGTCGAATATCGGGTGTATTTTTAGCGCATTTTTTGAGGGAGGGGGGGGTAAACACATGTTCTACCCTTCATGGTATTCTAATGAAAGGTCTCATCGAAATAAATTGGCTTGTACAAACTGTAACTTTCCCGTGCGACCCTTTTTCGAGATCAGTGAGTGACGGCACTTGAGGGGCGGGGGGAGGGGGAGTTAAAATTAATTTGATCTTTCATTGTATTCTAATTAAAGGTCTCGACGAAAGGAACCGTTTTCTACCAACTACTGTCCTCTTATCAAACTACGGGGTGGAGGAGGAGAGAGGGGAGTGGAACTAGTTTTATCCTTCATGGTACTCTAATGGAAGGTCTCAACGAAAGGAATTAATTTCTATCAACCATACTCACAGAGGGCGATTGAGACATCTGCAACAAATATATCCATTGGTGATGTCAAAACAAAAGCCATATCGGTTTAAAAAATTGCGCTTTATCTGCACAAGAGTTGTGCACAATTTATACTTGTTCTTCTTCTTTGTCTTCTTCTCTCTTTTCTTCATTGATTGCCAGCCCGGGTCCTCGTCTTCGGAAGTAGGAGTAGAGGTAAGTGAATCATTTCGGTACTTGGCGGCTGGTGCGGAAACCTTCTACCTTCAGGCGAAAGCAGTACCTACAGCATTTCCGTGATCTCGTAAATCTTGGACCAGCCCGGTAGGTTCTTCAGGGTAACGAGGAAGGTGTTGCTGTGTCTACCTTTGCCCTGAATCTTCGTGACGTATGTTGGACTGAATCCACGGCCGGTAAGTTCTTCGACGATCTCGTCGGGGGTGTCCCCGGATTGCAATCTTCAGCTCTTTTGTGGAATTCCAGCTGGTTCTTTCGCAAGTAGTCCTAAATCACGCGGAACTTGTACGGGCTATCGTCGACGATGCGGGCACAAAAGTCCTCTCTGTACTACACTTGCATTTTCAACTCGAACAAAACTTTTTCCGTAATTAGACTTCTCTCGAACATTTGCACAAATTTATTATTAAATGACGCAATGCATCTTCAACAAAACGAATAGGGCTGACTGCCCGTAAAATTCGCGTAATATAATGGATACGCTCTTCAACCGTCGCGAAACTAGCAGCAGCTTAGTTTTTACGTTTCCTCCAGTATTTAAGGAAACACTACTTCCACCATAAAAGAATCTTCTTCTTTATGAACCTTCACATAAATCGCCGATCACAGCGGAACGCACAAAAACGTCCGCCGCTGCTAGGTAAGCTGGGCATCCCCGGTAGTTGGCGGAGTGGGCTCGGGAACAGTTTGCACAAGTGGCCCTTTCTCCTGCAGTACGACGCCAGGTGGTTTGTGGCCCAACGAAGGTGTGAAGCCGCAGTTGACACTCGAGTGGCCGAATCTTTGGCAGGTGAAGCACTCCGGTACGTGTGGAATTCCAGCTGGCTCTTCCGCAAGTAGTCCTAAATCATGCGGAACTCGTCCGGGCTATCGGCGACGATGCTGGAACAAAAGCTCTCGAACTTTAGTTTCATTTACACGAATTCATTATTAAATAACGAAATGCGTCTTCAACAAAACAAATAGGGCTGACTGCCCGTAAAATTCGCGTAATCTAATGGATACGCTCTTCAACCGTCGCGAAACTAGCAGCAGCTTAGTTTTTACGTTTACTCCTGTATTTAAGGAAACACCATAAAAGAATCTTCCTTTTTATGAATCTTTAAATAAATCGCCAATCACCTAGGGGCCCCTAACATGTTTTTAGGTTAGATAAGAGATTCTGATGTTAAAAATAACTTAATTATCTTCGCCCCTAACAATAGTCGGACACGACTTTTGGGTTTATAAAACCAATAATTTCAGAATTTTCAGTTTTAAGAGTGGTGTCTTGCACCTTTTGGGTTTGATTATACAGATTCTTGATTGTTGAAAATTGCGAGATATTCGACAACAAAAAATAATCGAAGTTTTCTTTTACAGGTTCGCGATTTGGTCGAAAAATGCACGTGTCCAACGCAGTTTCCCATGATCCGGGTTTCGGAGGGAAAATATCGAATCGGCGACACCAAGGTGCTCATTTTCGTTCGAGTAAGTATGCTAATTGTGTATAGTACTTGGAACTATCTCGCGAGCACAAATATTGACATTCCAAAACGGTCATAAAGATTACTCGAGTGTTTAATAGAAATATTAATCAGATCTTCCCCGTAAAATGGATGACATCACGCGCACGAATTTTGGGATGGTCATCACTTAAATTAAAATGCCTGCCGGTGCATTAGTTGTTTTTGTACGCTTTGCGTGATGTGATTAAAATTCATATCGTGCCCATTCAGATTTTCGTGTTTACAGATTTTGCGGAGCCATGTCATGGTGAGAGTTGGCGGTGGTTGGGACACGTTGGCGCACTACCTGGACAAGCATGATCCGTGCAGGTGCCGCTCGCAGCATCGAACCACCCAAGGCGCGCGTCTTATCAACAAGCCCGGCGCGGCCGATCTGCAGGGCGCGCACGTTTACTACGATAGGTATTTGGAAGCAAGGCGAGGCGAAGATGCTAATCGTTAAAATTGTAGATCGCCACCAAGAGTTCCCCAGCACAACCTCAACGGTTACGCGACGAATGCGGTCAGGGAATATCTGGGACCGCCGACGAATTCGCTAAACCGCTCGCGCTCCCGCTCGCCCTCCCACCTCTCCCGTCGCTCGGTTTCCCCAAACTTGCCACGCAAAACCTTGGCACCGCCACTAAGCTCCAATCGCTCCCGCAGCCCGACGCCCAACTTCGTCTCGACCCACTCGACGAAGCTGTCCAATGCGAAAACGCAATCGCCGAAGCACGGAAAACCTCACCAAATTTCCGCCCTCCAAATCGATCCAAAGCTCACGATGAAATCCGAGGCGACCCTGCAGGTGTCCGAAAGCTCGACCGATCATAGCGATAACGCGTCCGAGGTTTCCGACGAGGGCTACCGAAGCCTGGGTTTGATCCAAACCGAGAAGAATAAGAACAGGATCTCGCTTTATAGTCAAAATTCGGTTGAAGATGTAGACGAATCAGGTATCACCACCACCTTCTTCCACAGTCCCATACGGAACATAAATGTTTCAGAGCATCAGGATATATTAGACTATGAAGATGACACTAACGACGCCGGTCTGCGACGCACCCAATTCTCGCACATCTACAAGGAGAGCCCCGAAAAAGGAAAACTGACCAAACAGAGGTCTTTAGAGACGCCTAGATCGCGCGCGAGCAGCAAGGAACGCGCCCCTCCCGAGATGATCCCCAAGTTAATCCCAAAATGCAACGTCAACACCTGGAGCGGTCGCCAGAAGAGCGCCCGTCCGTCCCTCACGCTCGACACCTTCAGCCCGCCGCCTCTCAAGCGAAACTCCCCGACGCGACGCAGCGCCACGACGATCTACGCGCCGCGTCGCTCCTCCCTATCGGCTGCGACCTCTCCCACCAAAGGAAGACTGAAAGACGAACTCCTCGAGGCCGTCAAGAACAACAACGACGACATCAGCATCGCGGAGCAAGTGAAGAAGCTGCTGAAGAAGTACAGCAGCCTCACCGTCCTCGACACGAACAACAAGATCGCCGATCCGGTAACCACCCGAAGTCCTAGGAAAGACTCGAAACCCGACAACATGATATCCAGAATACCAGCCCCGATTTCGCACAAAGCTTGAGCTGCCTTCAACCCCCTCTACAACTTGTGGTGCTATTTTGAATAGGATTCTTGCCCTTGTCTTCTCAACGGAACCAACAACGGTGTGATATTTTGTAGGACAGGGTACGTTCGCATCACTTTCGGATCTGCAAATAATTTCGTTTCGGTGCTATCTCTTAGTTTTTGAGAATTTTTAGAGTAGATGTTACGTTTGAGAAATTGTTCTAATATTGTTAGTACTGCTGAAGAAGGTGATGCAGCTCAATCTTGTAGTTGTATTAAAGAAATTATATTTTGTAAACATTCCAATTTTTATAGCGTTATAGAGACACAATGTTTTGTACAATCGATGTGTGCTGTAAGGGCTTTTCGCCTGTAGTTACCAACTGCAAACACATTTTAGTTTTTTTTTTATTACGTGTACATAAAACACTTATTTATCGATTTTTAACAGCAATCAATGCACAAAACCTTTTAAACATACCTTAACGGTTGAAGAGTTCGCCCTCTGTTGTTCTTAAAAGGTACTAATTTTATTTAATATTAGTTACTGTATTAACTTTTATTAAACATAATAAACACTATGCTATTTATTTCATAGATGAAAATTATGCTTCAATTTTATTTTTGAATTCCCCGCTTTAAATCTTCTCGTTTTAAAATCGTGTTCCATTGGGCCTTAGGCTCTAGAATTCAGGATTCAGGACTCACGCTTCAACTTTAGAGGGTTAAAAGAAAACTGGATTTTAGGATATTTTTTCAAAAAAGTTTCCTAAACTCAAGAAAGATCATTTAAATGCCGCCAATTCTTCTTGTACCTATTTCTCTTTCTCTCTCTCTTCATTTCCGCATCTGAATCTCGCTATTGTTTTAATATTTCCCACAATAATCTTTATAACCACTCCCTTATTAGATCTTTATTTTCACCCTCTGCTGTTGTATTTGTGAATCCATATCTTCCATCTTTTCTCCTACTCAGCCCAGTATAACCATCCTTTTTTACCAAAATTCGACTACACCAAAATTTCTCGGGAAAACACTTTTTCTTATTAATTTGGGTGCGTAGAATCCAAATCAATTCGTACTTTTTCGATCAGACTTCTCAATCAAAGGTTATAGACTAGAAACCAATTTGGGAAAAAAAATTCAAAGGGCTGTAACTTTTGAATTAGTGGCCCAATCTTGGAACTGTTTGAAATTATGGATTCTACAGGCCACATTCTATAAGAAAATTTTTTTCCGGGTCGATCTGAGACAATTTTTTTCGGGGCTCAAAAAAAGGCAGTGTATAACCTTCCTTTTTTACCAAAAATCGACTACACCAAAATTTCTCGGGAAAACAATTTTTCTTATTAATTTGGGTGCGTAGAATCCAAATCAATTCGTACTTTTTCGATCAGACTTCTCAATCAAAAGTTATAGACTAGAAACCAATTTCGAAAAAAATTTCAAAGGGCTGTAACTTTTGAACTAGTAGCCCAATCTTGGAACTGTTTGAAATTATGGATTCTACAGGCCACATTCTATAAGAAAATTTTTTTTTTCCGGGTCGATCTGAGAATTTTTTTTTCGGGGCTCAAAAAAAGGCAGTGTATAACCTTCCTTTTTTACCAAAAATCGACTACACCAAAATTTCTCGGGAAAACACATTTTCTTATTAATTTGGGTGCGTAGAATCCAAATCAATTCGTACTTTTTCGATCAGACTTCTCAATCAAAAGTTATAGACTGGAAACCAATTTCGAAAAAAAATTCAAAGGGCTGTAACTTTTGAACTAGTAGCCCAATCTTGGAACTGTTTGAAATTATGGATTCTACAGGCCACATTCTATAAGAAATTTTTTTTCCGGGTCGATCTGAGACATTTTTTTTTCGGGGCTCAAAAAAAGGCAGTGTATAACCTTCCTTTTTTACCAAAAATCGACTACACCAAAATTTCTCGGGCAAAACACTTTTTCTTATTAATTTGGGTGCGTAGAATCCAAATCAATTCGTACTTTTTCGATCAGATTTCTCAATCAAAGGTTATAGACTAGAAACCAATTTGGGAAAAAAAATTCAAAGGGCTGTAACTTTTGAACTAGTAGCCCAATCTTGGAACTGTTTGAAATTATGGATTCTACAGGCCGCATTCTATAAGAAAATTTTTTTCCGGGTCGATCTGAGACAATTTTTTTTTCGGGACTCAAAAAAAGGCAGTGTATAAGGCCCATTCGTATCCATTTTTTTCGTAATATTAGTTCTTCCCACATTCCCTTTGCGTTCATCCTCGTTTTTTCACTAATTCGCTTTTTCTATCGTCTCTTTCTTCGAATCATACCGCCCTGCGCCACGGCGCTACCCTTATCTTTCTCATTTTTGTTTCTTCCTCTAACAGACAACTGATGTCCTTCCGTTTAACCCTAATACCCATTTATAGTCTCATCTTTGTTCTTCCTCCAGTTCCTCCCACCCCCATATCTCCGCCCCGTACATGAGCAACCACAATTGCATCGAACAGGTACTTTCTTGTTCTTCATTCCACATTGTTTCTTTGCACTTGGAACCCTAACTATTTAAATTCTTTACCTCTTCTGTGCTTCCCTCTCTCCTTTTTCTTCCAATTCCCTTCCTAAATCTCATCACCTTCGAGTTTTCTACATTTAGCTCCATTCCCAACACCTTTCCATTCTTCCCATCATTTATCAAACAGTTCAGACTCGTTTCCTTCTATTCTTACCCTCAAGCTTGTCTCTCCATATACTTCCTTGATTCTATCCTTTAATTTTAAAAGAACAGCTGACCCAAAAGAGAGCGAAACACGAACCGGAGACCTCTCCATTTAATGGAGGTAATGTCTTAGAGTCCTAAAGAGTCTCATTACAAAATGTCTCGCGATGCCACGGCAGTTCGGGCACTAACATCGTGTCACGCCGGTTTTCCACATCCGAAACACGCTGAGAGGGTGCTGGGCGCTGCGGGTGCCGCAGTTGTAAGCGGTTTTGGAGCTTTTCTTCTACCGACAATCCTCCTGAGAATGCCCGGGATTCCTGCAGTAAGTGCACTCGTGTTCTGCGGTGTATTTGGTTGGCTGTGGCTGTAAGTCTTCGAAGTTCCGTAACATTCCAGACCCTAAAATGTTTCCGGATGAAAAATGTTGAAACAAGTATTACATTTACCGTTACGCGGGGCCATTCAGGTCTGAGGAGCCAGTTGCATTCTATTGTCCGGGTATGATAATTTGTGCTGGTAGGATGTGGAACATCTAGACATTATTTGCATAGTATTTGTAAAAGTTTATATTATATGTACCTTATTTGTTTGTGTTTATCTTATCTATCTTGTTTGTAAACCTTTGACGTTGTCTATATCATTGTTTGTGATCTACAGACAGAAATACATTATTATTATTATCTCATGTTTTTCTCCGGTTGTAGATAAGAAGTTTTCTGAGAACCTTTCCTACATTCTTAATTTTTTAAGGGTTTCACCCGGCTGCGGTGTACAATATTTTCGTTAAAGTTACAGAAGTTGCCGTTAATTCATTGTTGGTCCTTAGGGCGTGTGCCCTGGGGAAATACCACGAGCATCGTCGTTACGGGCGGCGTTGTCAGAAGCTGAACAAATTATCGTACTAAAAGTAATTAAAGCTAACCCTAATGATGTGCGCCTATTATTTTTATCGGTTCCTCATTTGCTATAATTGGGTCGGATATTGATAGGACGCAATTGTCATTAAGCTGGGCCTTTTTAAAAGCTACGCTCTGGCAGTTTTTCAGACAAAAGTGAATATGAAGTTACAACTGACAGGTAAGCGCGAATTGTATAATAACATTTTTCAATCGAACTTTAAGGTACACTGCTTATTATCGGTGCGTGTGCGTGTTGCAGCTCACCGGTACCGTAAAAGCGGCGGCGAGTAGAGACGTGCGTAAAGCGTGTAGACACATTCCAAATGGAGACCCTTCAAAGTTTCCGGATGATAAATGTTGTAACCAGTATTACATTTGTCGTAACTCGAAACCGGTTCCATACCCTTGTCCGGGTATGACGGTTTTTCATCCGAATCAGATGAAATGTACCGATGGTGATTGCAAAACCACCTATTGTGAAAGATTGTAACCAACTTGGCTTTATACAATGGTAATTCGTCACATTTTGTTTTTATTACTTCTCCCTATTTTAATTACTTCAAGACAGAACATTGCCAGTGGCGTAACTAGGTAGGTGCCGAAGGTGCCGCGGCACCGCTCTGAGAGGGCAAGGGCAGTACCGAAGGTGCTAAGGCACCGATGGGACCGGATGCGCTCCGGGTGAACAATACGAGGTATTGACCTGTCATTAAAGAAACAGGTATAAATTGTGCAGATAAAGCGCATTTTTTAAAAACCGAAATAGATTAGGAAATGGTTGGGTTATAAGGGGAGGAGGCTCTTTACACATAAACATTTAAAGACCGCCTGGCATACACTCAAAATCCTCCGACCTTCTATTCTGCGGATATTTGCACTGAAAGCTTCGACTTCACCAATAGATATGTCTCGTCCAGTCTATTCATTTTGCCTATGAGAGTACCCTCTTCCGACGATCCGTTCTGGAGATATAAGGGAATTTATCCGATCACGATAAAGGGTCGAAGAAGAGGACTGTGGTTGGGAGAAATGAATTCCTTTCGTTGAGACCTTTCATTAGAGCAGGTACCATGAAGTATAAAACCAGTTCCACTGCCCCCCCCCCCTCTCCATCCCACTATTTTGGTAAGGGGGCAGAAAGTCAGCTTTCGCTCGATCTATTATATTTTGAGAAAGTAATAAATGAACGAAATGGATATTTAACTGATAAAGAAAGCGTTCGGTAGGTAGTCAAGCATACCCGTTGACAAAGGTGCCACTTAGACCAGGAACTTTGTTAATAAAAAAGACGTGGAATGTAATCTTAGGAATAAGGTAATATATTTTCATTTATATTGAATAATTGAATCGAATACATAATTTAATATTACTTTTGTTTATAAGTTACAAAACTTATTGGTCTAATTAATGGGGGCGCAAATGCCACCGTTGGGGGGCGTGATGATTAATTAAAATTTAGCCTTTGTGAAACTATACGTTCGGCCGTCAATTATTTGTAATGCTGCTAGTATATTCTATTAACTTAACTGAAATGATTAATTAATTCCTCCTCTTATAATTAATCCTTATTTTAATTTGATCACTTCATGAAGATGAATTGAAATGTGTCCAAGAAATTCTACTGGTTTAGGTAGGTTTTGCACTGCGGGTGACATTTCGACCATAATACTAGTCCGCGGTTGCGTGGCCAATCGGTGCCGAGTACTACCATTTATGCGGTGGCTCGTAGGTAGATCGGTAAAATGCCATTATTGACTATTGTGGAATGCCCGCATGCTTTCTAATTGCCGAGGGAGATTTTGTCTTCCATGACGCATTTCTTGTAAAATGTTTGTGTGGTGCAGTGAAGTGCCGTGAAGGAGCAAAAGAGTTTCGGCAAGTGAAATGCAAACACGTGCAGGAATCAGATTTAAACCATCGATTCTCTTTCCATTTTACCTTGAACATTTAAGATGTCTTCAAAAATAATCTTGAGCGCGCCATCTAATTTAACATGTAGCATAATTAGGTGCTAATTAAGTACCCTATTCCCGAATTAAATGCTCCTTTTTTTTAAATTATGACATGTTCTGCCAAGTTCATATGAACCCGCAGAGCACTACCTTAAATAACCAAGAAAATCAAAAGTGAACTAACTAATAATTAGGTGGTGATTAGGTACAAATTAAGTGTCCGGTTTTCAAATTCTGTGCTCCTCCTTTTATTATATAATAGGGCACTTAATTAGCACCTAATTAGTAATTAGTTCACATTTCATTTTCTTGGTTTTTAAGGTAGTGATCTGCTGAGTTCATATGAACCTGGCTGAATATGTCATAATTTCAAAAAAAAAAGGATAATTTAATTCGGGAATATGGCACTTAATTAGCACCTAATTATTAATTAGTTCAGTTTTCATTTTCTTGGTTTTTAAGGTAGTGATCTGCTGAGTTCATATGAACCTGGCATAACATGTCATAATTGAAAAAAAAGGAGCATTTAATTTGGGAATATGGCAATTAATTAGCACCTAATTATTAATTAATTCACTTTTCATTTTCTTGGGTTTCTAAGGTAGTGATCTGCTGAGTTCATATGAACCTGGCAGATTATGTCATAATTTAAAAAAAAGGATAATTTAATTCGGGAATATGGCACTTCATTAGCACCTAATTATTAATTAGTTCACTTTTCATTTTCTTGGGTTTTTAAGGTAGTGATCTGCTGGGTTCATATGAACCTTGCATAACATGTCATAATTTAAAAAAAAGGAGCATTTAATTTGGGAATATGGCACTTAATTAGCACCTAATTATTAATTAGTTCAGTTTTCATTTTCTTGGGTTTTTAAGGTAGTGATCTGTTGAGTTCATATGAACCTGGCAGAATATGTCACAATTTAAAAAAAGGATAATTTAATTCGGGAATATGGCCCTTCATTAGCACCTAATTATTAATTAGTTCACTTTTCATTTTCTTGGGTTTTTAAGGTAGTGATCTGCCGAGTTCATATGAACCTGGCAGAATATGTCATAATTGAAAAAAAAGGAGCATTTAATTTGGGAATATGGCACTTAATTAGCACCTAATTATTAATTAGTTCACTTTTCATTTTCTTGGGTTTTTAAGGTAGTGATCTGCTGAGTTGATATGAACCTGGCTGAATATGTCATAATTTAAAAAAAAGGATAATTTAATTCGGGAATATGGCACTTAAATAGCACCTAATTATTAATTAGTTCAGTTTTCATTTTCTTGGGTTTTTAAGGTAGTGATCTGTTGAGTTCATATGAACCTGGCAGAATATGTCACAATTTAAAAAAAAGGATAATTTAATTCGGGAATATGGCCCTTCATTAGCACCTAATTATTAATTAGTTCACTTTTCATTTTCTTGGGTTTTTAAGGTAGTGATCTGCTGAGTTCATATGAACCTTGCATAACATGTCATAATTGAAAAAAAAGGAGCATTTAATTTGGGAATATGGCACTTAATTAGCACCTAATTATTAATTAATTCACTTTTCATTTTCTTGGGTTTTTAAGGTAGTGATCTGCTGAGTTCATATGAACCTAGCATAACATGTCATAATTGAAAAAAAAGGAACGTTTAATTTGGGAATATGGTACTTAATTAGCACCTAATTATTAATTAGTTCAGTTTTCATTTTCTTGGGTTTTTAAGGTAGTGATCTGCTGAGTTCATATGAACCTGGCAGAAAATGTCATAATTTAAAAAAAAAGGAGCATTTAATTTGGGAATAGGGCACTGAATTAGCACCCAGTTAGCACCTAATTATGCAATACGTTTGATTGTTCTCCTGACGTTGCTCTGCTAGGTTCATGGACATCTTCAACAAATAATTTTAATTTTCTCGTAAACCAGGAGCGCATGCAAATTGGGGACTGGCCACAAAAGTTTTAAATTACAACCAAAATGCACGTATGTAAGCATTATCTTTTCCCGGTACAAGCTTCTGATGAAGAGTGCGTGGAAATGAAGATGGGTTTTACCCATAGCGTATTTTCCACGTTTAATCCCCAACCCATAATTTTCCTTAATTACTTGATCCGCCATCCAATTAGTTTTAATCGTTCACGTGTATGAATCGCAAGGTTACCTCAAACAATGTAACTGTACGTGAAAATCCAATGACGATTTCAAATAATTAAATTACCATTTGAAAACGAACCGTGACAAGTGACGCAACGCAACGGACAACGGCGATCTCAAGGTTTTAACACATTTGCACCTGTGAAATCGTCACCAGCAGATCACCAGGTCATGCCCCGGGTGCCGTTAGCTCTGATGGCGATTCTTGGCGCGCTTCAGGTATTAATGTACATACAATATTATCATTCCTTAACCCATGAGTTTGCTTCAAGGGCGCGGTGGTGGATCAGGGCGAGCCGTTTCCGGTCGAAGACCAATGGTTCGAGCAGTACCTCGATCACTTTAATCCCATGGACAACAGGACCTTTAGTCTGGTAAGTACAACTGGCACAGTGTCTGTTGAGTCAACCAAGTAATTGTAGAGGTATTTCGAAAATGGGGAATTTTATCGACCTGGGGGTCCCATACTGCTCGAAATTGGAGGCGAGGTTACGGTCGAACCGTCATCGATGCGATCGGGCCCAAATTATGAGCTTGGGAGGAGGATGGGCGGCATGATCTTACTTCTCGAGCATCGCTATTATGGAAAAAGTGACCCGTTCGGGTAAGTTTACTTTTAATTGTTTGACGTTCATCAGAATCACATAAGCTGTCCTAAAATTTCTGCCTTATGTGGTGGTTTGGTCGGTCCTTCTGTTTGTCCTTATGAAATTCAGCTAGCAGAGTCAAAACTTCATATGCGAATATCTTGAGAACGGAGTGTTGGAAGTCGGTACTCACAAATGGAAAGTGATAGGTAGGTACATTTGACCGTATACTCACAAAATGAAGATTCTTTGTCATATGCACGTGTGCAAATTTGAATACGAGTCGGTGTTTTGAATAACGTAATTGTGATTATCCTGTTTTTACTGTGCTTTGTTATTTTGACTTTGAATTTACTGATTAGAATACATTACAAAAATTCCCCTCCTAAAAATCGTATGCAATTCTTCTACAAATACAGAAGACTCGTCTGTTTGTGCTTCGATTTTATTTTTTCCTACGAAATTTTAAATGGATAAAACTCAGAATACGAACGGGGCGTCTCAAGAGTCTATTTTTGGTCCAATCTTATTTTCTCTACTGTTTCTAAGGACTTAAAGCCTCTAAGAGATTGAGTTTGGAGCATATAAGTTTTTGATGTTTTGCGACTTTGGATTTTGATAGTGAGTATATGAGTATTTTATACTTTGAGTCCTTGTATCTTTGAGCATATGAGTTTCTGAGCCCTTGAACCCTTGAGATTTTGCATCTTTGCCCCTCATTCAACGGCTACCACCCTTTACCACTGAAACACATGTTTTAGACCAGTCTATAGTGCTTGAGTTTTTGAGTATGACTCAGAGTTTTTTTAGCTTCTCAGGTTTTGAGTTTTGAGTTGTTGGGGATTTCGATTCCGGGCCTTCTTTCCTTGGATTCCGTAAACGTGTATGAGTCTTCGACTCTGTAGCTTTTTGAGCCTTAAATTTTGGAGTTCTTGAGCATCAGTCAATATAGTTCTTTAGGTTTTTGAGTCTTTACGTTTCGAATTTTTGAATTCTCGAGTCCTCGATCTTCGAGTCTTGTAATCTAAAATCATGCTCTTTTCCCTTTGAGTCGTTGAGTCTTAAAGCCCTTGATACTGTGTATATGAGGACGTTGAGTAATCGTTTTTTAGGTTTTTGAAGTTCTGAGTACTTGAGCCTTGGTCCTTAGTTCAGTTTTTGAGCATTTTAGCTTTTCTGATTTTGATCTTGGCCTTTTGAATGTTTGAGTCTATGAGTGATCTGGTCTCTGAGTCGTTGAGTCTTTAGGCCTTTAACAGATTCAAGATTTTTAAATAGATAGAATTCAGAACACAACCGGAGTGCCTCAAGGGTCTGTTCTTGGACCAATTTTTTTTCTACGACTTCTAAGGACTTGAGATTTTTTTAAATAGATAGGATTAGGAATACGACCGTTGTAAGTCAAGGGTGTGTTTGTGGCCCGATTTTATTTTTTTCTACGACTTTTAAGGGCTCAACATTGTTGCATAAGGGTATTAGAAGAACAGCATAGTGTGAAATTTATTGGTTACTGATATCGCACAATAGAGATGTTCCTTAATTCCTTGTATCACCGATCTCACATTCTAAGATTGTTGTTAGGGGTGACAGAAGCGCAAGAAGGTGTAAAATTACCTGAAATATTATGAACTCCTGGTACTCTCTTCAATACTAAACTTTTGCATGTCACAACAAAAATGTTTCGTTAATAGGTCTTGCCAGGGCAACAAAAATTGCAGTATTTATTGCCAAAACCAAGGTACAAAATTACATGCATTAAAGTTCTCAAGTATTATGGTGTCCTGATACAGATTTCTCTTTTAAAAACTGACTGCATGAGGACTACAAAGGAACATACAAGTAAAAAACATCTATGCATATTCCTTATCATGTATTATGCGATCCTGATACGAATCTTAGACGAGGAGAATGTCTCATTCTTAAGATTGAGATCAGGGGGTGATGAAAACGCAAGAAGGTATAAACTTACACGCATACATGTTTCAGTAGTAGACGAGTAAAATTATTTCACTAAATCTATATAATAATATAATTTGTATACAAGTCTTTTTAAATCAGTTGATCAGGGTCACAGAATCTAGTATTTGTGCCTAAACCCTTCCGCCTCACGATTATGTTTTCCTGACACACTCATCTTTCAGAAATGACAAGATGTGTAAAATTAGACGCACACAATTTCTCATTCTACTCTGGTCTCCTGATAATAATAATTCTCTTAAAAAGTCTTGTATCAGGGTGACACTAGTAGAAATTAGGCCAAAAAACGCGACTTGAAGTAAATTAGATGTAAGGTAGAAAGCAAAGGGTAATTCCTCTTTTAAAAATTAGTGTATCAGGATCACAGACAAGCATAGAAGTACAAATATTTTGGCATACGCCTATGTGATCTTGATACAAATGCTTGTTGTACCGGATGTAAAATGTATTGCACACTTATTCTATTCTCACAATAAAATAGACTCTAATAAATGTTACCGTATCAGGACTCCAGAGGAGCATGAAGCTGAACATTGTATTATGTGATCCTGACCCGAACGATTCTTTTAATAATTACTGTATCAAGTATCAGAAATGTGTAAAATGTACTGGACTGGAAGGTCACACGTTCTCACAGTAAAAATGTCTGTTTGATTCCTTGTATCAGGATTACAGAGACCCAAGGAGTAATCTTATTTGTTGATTGTTATGTCTAGATCCATCAGGACTGCAGATGAGCAAAAATCTTAGAAATTTGTTAGTATACGCTTTTCTATGTATGTATTATGTGATCCTAATAGAAATCTTTATTCTTAAACCTGTATCAGGGTGCCAATGCAAATCTCTCTCTTTATAAACTTACCGTATTAGGGTTACAGAAGAGCTTGGGGGTAAAACTTTTGCTTTCCATGTTTTTTTGCGATCCTGATACAAATGTTTTTCTTACAAATTGTTGAAAAGAAGAATAGCAAGGTGTGAAATGCATTGCACAATAAGAGATCTCTCTAATTTCTTGCGTCAGGATCACCGGAATACAGGAAATCATTTTTTGGCAAAGTCGGTATCTCACAATCTAAGATAACTGTTGTATCAGGGTGACAGGCTCAGAATGCGACCGGGGTGCCTCAAGAGTCTATTTTTGGTCCGATTTTATTTTCCCCCACGACTTTTAAGAACGTGTGATTTTTAAATAATTAGGCCTAAGAATATGACCGGGGTGTCTCAAGGGTCTGTGTTCGGTCCAATTTTATTTTTTCTACGATTCTACGGAAGTGAGATTTTCAAATTGATCAGGCAGCATTTAAACACATCAAAGGCCGATTGTGCCTAGGCCTACCTCCTTTTCTGTGCAACGTTGTCAGATGTCGTCCTTCTCAAATACGATAGGACCCGGTTTAGCTGAAGTTGATTCACCCTCTCATGGACCGTCTGAGTCCGGTTGCTTGTTGCCACTGAGCCACTTTTTGCTCCGGATCTTTCAAAAGGACCTTACAAAGTTTTTCTACTTGATCCTCTTCCCAGCCTTCAGCTTTACATGGTCTGAGTTCCACTATGCGTTACAAATGGTAGTATCTGCTCGGGCGCCATTTGTAAGGCTCGCTACGTTTACCCCTGGTATTGTTGCTAATTTGGACTCGTAGCGAGTCTCGGGTAATAGCCAGTCGTATACTTCGCGTGCCGAGAGTAGCTGCTCTGGAGATGAGTATATGGAGACCAGGCGGATTCCCATCCGAAGAAGGGGAAATATGTAAAAAAAAGAAATTCTCTAATTACTTGGTAGTGTTCCAGACACTAGAAAGTTAAAATTGTGCTCGTTCCTTAACATCAAATTTGTTGGCAGGGAAAACAAAACAGTGGATGAGTACCAGTACCTGACCGCCGAACAAGCCTTAGAAGACATCGCATATTTCATCGAATCCTACAAAAGCAAAACTCCCAGCTTTCGACAAAGTAAAGTGAGTTAAATTCGCGAATAAAACCAGCTCGGTTGGACTCAACTGAAATGTGCAGGTGGCGGTCTTCGGGTGCTCCTACGCAGGCACGCTGGCGACGTGGATGCGCTACAAGTTCCCGCACCTCGTCGACGCCGCTTGGGCCAGCAGCGCGCCGCTGAGAATTACTCTGGACTTCTATGGTAATCTGAACCCATCGCATTAATCCCTTGCTACAGATACACACTTTCAGAATACTACGAGGTCGCAGGCGAACTATACTCGAACGTTAGTTCGGAGTGCATCGCAATAGTCAGACAAGGCTATCGGGAGGCGAAAGTTCTGCTAGCCACGCCGGAAGGACTCGAGCAAGCCCGAGCGACTTTTGAGTTTGTTAATCTCGCTCTCGGAGAGCCCACTCACCGCCTCGGTTTTTAGGGGATGGTCTTGTGGTAACGTCACCGAAATGGGATCGATCGAGATTTTGGCGACGATACGCATGGTCCTTTCGAATCAGTACAACTCGCCGCACTACGGAAGGGAAAGCTGCGCGTTTTTGCAGGACAAAAACTCGTCGACCACGTGCTTCGAGCAGTTGGCGGCTTTCGTACTGATGAAGGACGAAGAGGTCTGCTTCGACGACGACATCGGCGACGGTGAGTTTTGGCTTTCGAAAGATTGACCCTTCAAGTCGAGCTATAATACCAGTGATGGCATGGTCCTATCAGACGTGCACCCAATTCGGATTCAGCTTCACGTTGAGCTCGATGCTGCAACCTTTCAAGGACTCCGAGTCGATGATCGACGTCGACATGAAGTTCTGCTCGGAGACTTTCGGTGATGAGTAAGCCTAGATCTTTTAAGTGCACCTGCAAAGTAATCGTATGCAGATTTGACATAGATCAACTGCAGCGGAGCATCGCTCGGATGAATAGGGTGTACGGTTCGACGGAGTTAAAGGTGACGAAAGTGGTCACGATACAGGGGACCCAGGATCCTTGGAACAAAGTGGGATTGCAACGCCAAACTCAAATTGATGCTCCCGTTTTCTTGGTTCCAGGTAATGTAATTTTTGACCATGGTTAAACATTAGGTCGCAAATTGTCGTTATGAAAACATGCCCAAATTATGATTCGTTTTGATCCGTTGGATCCTTTAGGATCCCACACTTAAATTCATTACCCACGGAACAGATGAAAGACTTAAAACAGCCGGTATAGAAACAGATTTAAGTTTTGGAATGAAGAAACCTTGAGGTTGTTACGGGTAACAGAGAAAAATTACCTGGTCTTCCTTTGGTGAGGTACTGCAGGGGCGTATCTGCTGGGGGGTATTCCATACTCATTCGTTTTTAGAAATGGACAGCTGAATCTTTCTTTCCTGTGGAGTATGCTAACACTAAATTGTTTAGGGGTAGAACGTAACACCGGGGGATAAAGAATACCTCCCAACAGTACCACAGGTACATCCTCATGTTAGCTTTTGAGAAAAGGTAATCAAAGCTATTTGTATGCTGGGAGGGACTCAATACACCCCTCCTTCCCCCTTGCCCTGGTATTACGTTTTCCCACAAAAGCTCTCGGACTCTCATATTAGTTTTTAGTAAAAGGCAGACGAATCAACAGGAATACCTTTTGCTGAGGATAGTGCTGGGGGTATTAGTTGAGGGGTATTCCATATTCATTGGTATGGAATACCTCCCAGCAATACTCTCAGCAAAGGGAAACTCGATAATTTTTACCTTACAACCCGTAAAATGGAATTCCCCGGTTTATAAGTATACGAATGGCGATTATCATGGTGATAATAACTATGGTAGGGAAAGGGTAATTGAATTTTCCTTTTGCTGGGGGGTATTCCATACCCCCCCAGACCACCGGTGTTAAATTCTCCCGCAAAACCGTCTGCCTCACCACTATCATTGCAGGTTTTGATAAGACGACATCGAACGTAGCACCGGGGGGTATGGAATACCCCCCAGTATACGATGAGTATATTTATACGAGTATACGAGTGGTCTGATGGTGATAATGACGTTGGTAGTGGTAGGGTAATTGAATTTTCCTTTTGCTGGGGGGTATTCCATACCCCCCAGACCCCCGGTGTTAATTCTCCCGCAAAACCGTCTGCCTCACCACTATCATTGCAGGTTTTGATAAGACGACATCGAACGTAGCACCGGGGGGTCTGGGGGGTTTGGAATACCCCCCAGTATACGATGAGTATATTTATACGAGTATACGAGTGGTCTGATGGTGATAATGACGTTGGTAGTGGTAGGGTAATTGAATTTTCCTTTTGCTGGGGGGTATTCCATACCCCCCCCACCCCCCGGTGTTACATTCTCCCACAAAACCGTCTGCCCCACCACTATCATTGCAGATTTTGATAAGACGACACCGAACGTAGCAGCGGGGGTATTCCATACCCCCCCGTTTACGATGAGTATATTTATACGAGTATACGAGTGGTCTGATGGTGATAATGACGTTGGTAGTGGTAGGGTAATTGAATTTTCCTTTTGCTGGGGGGTATTCCATACCCCTCAGACCCCCCGGTGTTACATTCTCCCACAAAACCGTCTGCCCCACCACTATTATTGCAGGTTTTGATAAGACGACATCGAACGTAGCACCGGGGGGTCTGGGGGGTTTGGAATACCCCCCAGTATACGATGAGTATATTTATACGAGTATACGAGTGGTCTGATGGTGATAATGACGTTGGTAGTGGTAGGGTAATTGAATTTTCCTTTTGCTGGGGGGTATTCCATACCCCTCAGACCCCCCGGTGTTACATTCTCCCACAAAACCGTCTGCCCCACCACTATTATTGCAGGTTTTGATAAGACGACATCGAACGTAGCACCGGGGGGTCTGGGGGGTTTGGAATACCCCCCAGTATACGATGAGTATATTTATACGAGTATACGAGTGGTCTGATGGTGATAATGACGTTGGTAGTGGTAGGGTAATTGAATTTTCCTTTTGCTGGGGGGTATTCCATACCCCCCAGACCCCCGGTGTTAAATTCTCCCGCAAAACCGTCCGCCTCACCACTATCATTGCAGGTTTTGATAAGACGACATCGAACGTAGCACCGGGGGGTCTGGGGCGTTTGGAATACCCCCCAGTATACGATGAGTATATTTATACGAGTATACGAGTGGTCTGATGGTGATAATGACGTTGGTAGTGGTAGGGTAATTGAATTTTCCTTTTGCTGGGGGGTATTCCATACCCCCCAGACCCCCCGGTGTTACATTCTCCCACAAAACCGTCTGCCCCACCACTATCATTGCAGATTTTGATAAGACGACACCGAACGTAGCAGCGGGGGTATTCCATACCCCCCCGTTTACGATGAGTATATTTATACGAGTATACGAGTGGTCTGATGGTCATAATGACGTTGGTAGTGGTAGGGTAATTGAATTTTCCTTTTGCTGGGGGGTATTCCATACCCCCCAGACCCCCCGGTGTTACATTCTCCCACAAAACCGTCTGCCCCACCACTATCATTGCAGATTTTGATAAGACGACACCGAACGTAGCAGCGGGGGTATTCCATACCCCCCCGTTTACGATGAGTATATTTATACGAGTATACGAGTGGTCTGATGGTCATAATGACGTTGGTAGTGGTAGGGTAATTGAATTTTCCTTTTGCTGGGGGGGATTCCATACCCCCCAGACCCCCGGTGTTAAATTCTCCCGCAAAACCGTCTGCCTCACCACTATCATTGCAGGTTTTGATAAGACGACACCGAACGTAGCAGCGGGGGTATTCCATACCCCTCCGTTTACGATGAGTATATTTATACGAGTATACGAGTGGTCTGATGGTCATAATGACGATGATAGGGAAAGGGTAATTGAATTTTCCTTTTGCTGGGGGGTATTCCATACCCCCCAGACCCCCGGTGTTAAATTCTCCCGCAAAACCGTCCGCCTCACCACTATCATTGCAGGTTTTGATAAGACGACATCGAACGTAGCACCGGGGGGTCTGGGGCGTTTGGAATACCCCCCAGTATACGATGAGTATATTTATACGAGTATACGAGTGGTCTGATGGTGATAATGACGTTGGTAGTGGTAGGGTAATTGAATTTTCCTTTTGCTGGGGGGTATTCCATACCCCTCAGACCCCCCGGTGTTACATTCTCCCACAAAACCGTCTGCCCCACCACTATTATTGCAGGTTTTGATAAGACGACATCGAACGTAGCACCGGGGGGTTTGGAATACCCCCCAGTATACGATGAGTATATTTATACGAGTATACGAGTGGTCTGATGGTGATAATGACGTTGGTAGTGGTAGGGTAATTGAATTTTCCTTTTGCTGGGGGGGTATTCCATACCCCCCAGACCCCCCGGTGTTACATTCTCCCACAAAACCATCTGCCCCACCACTATTATTGCAGGTTTTGATAAGACGACATCGAACGTAGCACCGGGGGGTCTGGGGGGTATGGAATACCCCCCAGTATACGATGAGTATATTTATACGAGTATACGAGTGGTCTGATGGTGATAATGACGTTGGTAGTGGTAGGGTAATTGAATTTTCCTTTTGCTGGGGGGGTATTCCATACCCCCCAGACCCCCCGGTGTTACATTCTCCCACAAAACCATCTGCCCCACCACTATTATTGCAGGTTTTGATAAGACGACATCGAACGTAGCACCGGGGGGTCTGGGGGGTTTGGATACCCCCCAGTATACGATGAGTATATTTATACGAGTATACGAGTGGTCTGATGGTGATAATGACGTTGGTAGTGGTAGGGTAATTGAATTTTCCTTTTGCTGGGGGGTATTCCATACCCCCCAGACCCCCGGTGTTAAATTCTCCCGCAAAACCGTCCGCCTCACCACTATCATTGCAGGTTTTGATAAGACGACATCGAACGTAGCACCGGGGGGTCTGGGGCGTTTGGAATACCCCCCAGTATACGATGAGTATATTTATACGAGTATACGAGTGGTCTGATGGTGATAATGACGTTGGTAGTGGTAGGGTAATTGAATTTTCCTTTTGCTGGGGGGTATTCCATACCCCTCAGACCCCCCGGTGTTACATTCTCCCACAAAACCGTCTGCCCCACCACTATTATTGCAGGTTTTGATAAGACGACATCGAACGTAGCACCGGGGGGTTTGGAATACCCCCCAGTATACGATGAGTATATTTATACGAGTATACGAGTGGTCTGATTGTGATAATGACGTTGGTAGTGGTAGGGTAATTGAATTTTCCTTTTGCTGGGGGGTATTCCATACCCCCCAGACCCCCGGTGTTACAAATTCTCCCGCAAAACCGTCTGCCTCACCACTATCATTGCAGGTTTTGATAAGACGACACCGAACGTAGCAGCGGGGGTATTCCATACCCCTCCGTTTACGATGAGTATATTTATACGAGTATACGAGTGGTCTGATGGTCATAATGACGATGGTAGGGAAAGGGTAATTGAATTTTCCTTTTGCTGGGGGGTATTCCATACCCCCCAGACCCCCGGTGTTAAATTCTCCCGCAAAACCGTCCGCCTCACCACTATCATTGCAGGTTTTGATAAGACGACATCGAACGTAGCACCGGGGGGTCTGGGGGGTTTGGAATACCCCCCAGTATACGATGAGTATATTTATACGAGTATACGAGTGGTCTGATGGTCATAATGACGTTGGTAGTGGTAGGGTAATTGAATTTTCCTTTTGCTGAGGGGTATTCCATACCCCCCAGACCCCCCGGTGTTACATTCTCCCACAAAACCGTCTGCCCCACCACTATCATTGCAGGTTTTGATAAGGCCTACCTCACCACTATTATTGCAGGTGATCCATATAGAGCTGCAATTTTCTTTCTAGAACGGGGTGCCACAAGGGCCTCTTCTTGGTTCGATTCTGTTTCTTTAAATTTCTTAAATTTCAAATGGGGTGTCGCAAGGGTTTGTTTCTGGGCCGAATGTATTTTTTAATTTCAAACCTAAAATATTCTTTATGAATATATGGGGCTGGTAATCGCGAATGGGGTGCCTCAAGGGTCTGATCTTGGTTCGATCTTATTCATTCAGTTTTTAATGACATTTTTTTAACAGGTGCCTCCCACTGCGCCGATACCTACGACAACGACTACGAGCAGGAACTACCCCTACTGCAACAAGCCAAAAGACTCGCCTACAGTTTGTTGATAAAGTGGCTGCAATAAATCATTAAAGCCCGTTTCGTTTTATTTGCGTTTAGTGCGCATTGAACCTTATTACGCCCCAACCTCGATCAATTTCGCGAATTCGTTTAGCGGTCTAATTTTAATAACAATAAAGCAACGATTAGCTTTAACGAGACTTAAAAGGATAACGAGGTGCTTGGCTCCTATTTAAATGCGAGAGCGCGAAAGTGAATAAGAGCAAAACAATGAGGGCGATCGCTTTACTAAGTCTTCTGCTGTGCAGCGCGCTGATGTCGGATGGGTAAGCGCGTTTACGAAAGGGTCGATTGGCAAAAAATTACCTTCCAGCTCGAGAACCATCCCCGAACTGAAACTGGAGATTTTGAACCAGATCCTGCCGAAAAACGAGAATGAGATTATGATCGCTCCGGGGAATTTGACGAAGGATTGCACCGAGGTCGAGGCAACGCTCTACGTGCTCAACATTGACGAAATCAACGAGCTGAAGGGGGTAAGTCTTCCGATTTCAGAGCGAATTCAACGGTTTTGGGTTAGGAAATTACGCTCAGAATGTACTTTCGGCAATACTGGAAGGACTACAGGTTGAAATACCTCCCGAACCCTCTTTTTGAGTACGTTCTAATCAACAATGATGACGCAATTTGGGTGCCCGACACCTTCTTTCCGAGCGAGAAGAAATCGCGCTCCTTCGACTCCCTACGTCCTAACGTGCTGATCAAGATCTTCCCCGACGGATCAGTTACTTACAGCAAAAAGTAAGTAGCGATTACGGGTCGTTTCGGCTAACCCGCGCAGACTTTCAGTAACCCTAAACTGCCCGATGGATTTCGACAGCTACCCCTTCGACCGGCAGGTGTGCAACATGCGCTTGGAGTCTTGTAAGCTGTACCCTTCGGTTAGATAGCGCCTAACTCTGGATTTACAGATGGCAGCACCGCGGAGCACATGAAGCTGAAATGGAAGGCGGAGAATCCGCCAGTTGGAATCTACTCAAAGAACCCGGTGCCGGTCTTTCGGCTGCAAAAGCTGGTCAGCTCCTACGGAATGGTCCACATGCAAAGTATCGCGACACGTCTGGGTTTAACAAAACTGATCGCCCACTTTTAGAGAACTACAGCTTCTTGGCGGCGGACTTCTACTTCAGCCGCAGCTTGAACTACAGCATGTACAACATCTACTTGCCAGGCATCGCCATGGTGTTCCTGTCGTGGTTGCCGTTTTGGATGAACAAAAAGATGATCACCACCCGCCTCCTTTTGAGCGTGGGAGCTCTGCTCTCGTTCTTCGCCATGCTCTGTCGATTTGGCGAGAGGCAACCGCAGTCGCGGTACTCCAGCTCCATGCTCTGGTTTTCGGGCACCTGCACGTCGTTCCTCATCCTGTCGTCGGTGCTCTCCGTACTGGTCCACATTTTCGATCGAGATAATGTCGCACCGATTAAAATCGTCGAAAATGGAGAGGGCGTGAGTATCGCACGGTCGTAGAGATCTTCCTAAGGGATTTTTTCAGGAAATTGAAGTAAAAAAGCTGAGCTTGAAAATGATGATGAAAAAGCTGCCAAGCGAAATTGGTTGGTTCGACTTTGGAGCACGTGCTGTTTTTCTACTCGCGTTCGCCTTGTTTTGCGTGATTTACTTTGTGTCATCGGGCGCCTTCAGTGCGGACGAGGCTATTCCTGTCACCAAATCATAATATCATAACTACTTCCGCTAAAGTTATTGTTAATGATTGCATTTGAAAACGCTTAATAAACGAATAATACAATAAAATCATCCATAAGTAGCAGGACTTTAGAGACTCAAGGCTCTTGCAAGACCTTCAAAAAGCTTTCCCTTTTAACTGGAAGTGAAGGCGAATGCACGCGTTGTTTAAAGCGATAATTTTGAACCGTTTTGAGAAGTTATCGGGCGCCATGGCTTAGGGGAATTGATAAGATAGGAGTAGAATTTACAAGAGATATCGTAGTTTTAACCTAACTAGCACTCTAACCTAACCTCACTAATACTTTATCGTAATCTTCAACCTCCTCGCACATCATATTCTCCTGATACAAGATTTCTCACCTAACCTAACTAGCACTCTAACCTAACCTCACTAATACTTTATCGTAATCTTCAACCTCCTCGCACATCTTATTCTCCTGATACAAGATTTCTCACCTAACCTAACTAGCACTCTAACCTAACCTCACTAATACTTTATCGTAATCTTCAACCTCCTCGCACATCTTATTCTCCTGATACAAGATTTCTCACCTAACCTAACTAGCACTCTAACCTAACCTCACTAATACTTTATCGTAATCTTCAACCTCCTCGCACATCATATTCTCCTGATACAAGATTTCTCACCTAACCTAACTAGCACTCCAACCTAACCTCACTAATACTTTATCCTAACCTTCACCTTCTCGAATATTCACCTGATACACTGTTTCTCACTTAACCTAACTAGCGATAAAGACGATAAATAAATAAGTAAATAAATAAATAAATAAATAAATAAATAAATAAATAAATAAATAAATAAATAAAATAAATAAAATAAATAAAATAAATAAATAAATAAATAAATAAATAAATAAATAGATAAATAAATAAGTGAAATGTTGGGTCTTGATAATCTTCAGATGGTTTGGAGGCTTAAAAACCTCAGGGGGCGTTTTAGATTTTTAAGACTTCTAGCATACTTCCGGCTGATGTTCCCAATTCTCCCAAGACTCATGACAAGAGATGGAGATTTTGAAGACTTTCCTGAAGGATTTTAAAAACTTAAGCGGAAGAGTGCAGAGGAAAGGGTGCAAAGGGAACAGTGTAGCAGGAAGAGTGCAGGCAGAAAGGTGCAACATAGTGAAGAGTGCAAGAGGAAGAATGCAGGGTGAAGAGTGCAAGGGGAAAAGTGCAAGCTGACGATTGAAATGGGTAGAGTGCGGGGGGGAAGAGTGCAGTACGAAGGAGTAGGGAGAGAATGCAGGGGAAATAGTGCAGGTGGAGAAGTGCAGTGGGAAAAGTGCAGGAAGATGAGTGCAAGAGGAAGAGTGCAGCGCGACGAGGACAGGGGAAAAGTGCAACGGGAAGAGTGCAGGGGAAAGGGTGCAAGGGTAAGAGTGTAGCCGGAAGAGTGCAGCGTGAAGAGTGCCGGAGGAAGAATGCAGGGGAAAAAGTGCAAGGTGACGATTAAAACGGGAAGATTGCGGGAGGGAAGAGTGCAATAGGAAAGGCAGAAAGGAGAAAATGCAGAGGAAAGAGTGCAGGAGGAGAAGTGCAGAGGAAAAAGTGCAGGAAGAAGAGTGCAAGAGGAATAGTGCAGCGGGAAGAGGGCGTGGAAAAGTGCAGCGGGAAGAGTGCAGGGGGGAGGGTGTAGCGGAAAGGGTGCAGGGAAAAAATGCAGCTGGAAGAGTACAGGAGGAAGAATGCAAGGGGAAGATTGCAACGAGAAGCGTGCGGGGGGAATAGTACAGCAGAAAAGGTAGAATGCAGGGGAGGGCGCGCAAAGGGAAGAGTGCAGCGAGAAAAATTCAGGGGAGAAAGAGATGATTGAAACGGTAAGAGTGCGGGGGAAGAGTGAAGTGGGAAGGGTAGAAGGGAAAGAGTGCAGGAGGAGCAGTGTAAAGGGAAAAGTGCAGGAAGAAGAGTGCAAGAGGAAAAGTGCAGCGGGAAGAGGGCAGGGGAGAGTGCAACGGGAAGTTTGAAGAGGAATGCGAGTGTGGCGGTAAGAGTGCAGGGGAAAAATTGCAAAGGGAAAAGTGCAACGGGAAGTGTGCCAGGAGAAGATTGAAAGAGAGGGGGAAGAGTTCATGGGAAAGAGTGAAGCGGTTCAGAGTGCACGGGGAATAATGCAACGGGAAGAGTGCAGGGGGAAGGGTGTAAGAGGAAGGGTGTAGCGGAAAGGGTACGGGGAGAAAAGTGCAGCTGGAAAAGTACAGGAGGAAGAATGCAAAGGGAAAAGTGCAAGGGAAAGATTGCAACGGGAAGAATGCGGGGGGAATACCTAGTGCAGCAGAAAAGGTAGAAGGGGAAGAGTGCAGGGGAGGGAGCGCAGAGAGAAGGGTGCAGCAGGAAAAGTTCAGGAGAGAAAGTGCGTCGGGAAGAGTGCAGGGAAAAGAGTCTATCAGGAAGAGTGCAGTGAAAGGGTGCAGCGGGAAAAGTTGAGGGAGAAAAATGCAGCGGTAAGAGTGGTGGGGGAAGAGCGCAGGGGGTAGAGTGCAAGGGGAAGGTTGCAGCGGGAAAAGTGCAAGGAGAAGAGTGCAAGAGGAAGAGTACAGCGGAAAGAGGGCAGGGGAAAGTGCAGCGGGAAGTTTACAGGGGAATGAGTGTAGCGGTAAGTAGTGCAGGGGAAATGCAACGGAAAACGTGCAGCAGGAAAAATACGGAGGGAAAAGTACAGGGGGAATATTGCAACGGGACGAGTGCGGGGGGTATACAGTGCAGTAGGAAGGGTAGAAGGGAAAGAGTGCAGGGGCTTTTCTGACTTCCAAAATTCTGGCGACCCCCAACACTATAGTTCTCAAGACTATCAAAACTGCCAAGAAATTGACGCCCCTAAGATTTTCAGCGCCATATCTCCAAGGCTCTCAACACTCGTGATTCTGGACACTTTCAAGATTTTCAAGATACTGACTTTCCCCTTCTTCCTCTCATGACTCTAATGCTATCAGTATTTCAATATTCTAAATACTTAGATACAACACTGATAAAAACTCAAAAAATACTCAAAATGAAAAATGTAAGATTCTCAAGATTTAGAAGCTCCCAACATTGACAAAACTACAAACTTTTCAAAAACTTCCGCTTCTGTGCTCTATTGTATTCATCAATTTGAAAATCCCGAATTATCTCAAAAGCAATTTGAGTTACCTACCTTTAATTAGGCACTTTCGGAAATTTTCCAAATTCAATTCAATTCATTTACTTATTGTGCTCAGTAATTAGATAGTAATTATTGTATTCGTTTTCTGAAAATTCTGTAGGTATTTATTAGACGTCCAAAATAGCAATCCCGTCGTTTTCAAGGAAACAATACAATATAATACAATATTGTATTCTATTCCGAACTTCATTTTATTTCGTGCGTCGCGTCCTACAATGATTTGTTTCTCTTTATCTATCTATTGTTTCCGTTAAAGTGACTATACCGTAACTCTTAAAGATTAAAGGCAAACTTACCCTAGTCGTTCAAACCGAAACCTATTTAAATGTCAATTTAACATCTGCTATAAAATTTAAAAAAATTTTGGCCATGGAAAACAGGAACTAATCAAATCGGAAATGCCAAAATTAAAGTTTGAATTACCCACCCACAGGTATTGGAATAATATTGTTATTTAAAACTTCAGCTGCCAAGGTATAACCATTGTTTAAATAAACAATGGTATAACCATCCTTTTTTACCAAAATTCGACTACACCAAAATTTCTCGGGAAAACACTTTTTCTTATTAATTTGGGTGCGTAGAATCCAAATCAATTCGTACTTTTTTGATCAGACTTCTCAATCAAAAGTTATAGACTAGAAACCAATTTCGAAAAAAAATTCAAAGGGCTGTAACTTTTAAACTAGTAGCCCAATCTTGGAACTGTTTGAAATTATGGAATTCTACAGGCCACATTCTATAAGAAAATTTTTTTTCCGGGTCGATCTGAGACAATTTTTTTTTCGGGCTCAAAAAAAGCAGTGTATAACCTTCCTTTTTACCAAAAATCGACTACACCAAAATTTCTCGGGAAAACACTTTTTCTTATTAATTTGGGTGCGTAGAATCCAAATCAATTCGTACTTTTTCGATCAGACTTCTCAATCAAAAGTTATAGACTAGAAACCAATTTCGAAAAAAAATTCAAAGGGCTGTAACTTTTGAACTAGTAGCCCAATCTTGGAACTGTTTGAAATTATGGATTCTACAGGCCACATTCTATAAGAAAATTTTCTTTCCGGGTCGATCTGAGATAATTTTTTTTTCGGGCTCAACAGTGGGAACATATAATTACCTATACAACTTATCGTATTATAATTAATTAACGATTAACGTGAATGGGGGCGTTACTCGCTAGTATTGATTTTTTGCTAACGATTACACAGCATGTGTCGACATCTATCGAAAACAGCTAACGTTTACCGCAACAGCGCGAGCTAACGCAATGCGCCCAACAGATGGCGGAAGGGCGTACAACCCCAAAACAGCAACGTATTGATCCAATTCTTCTACAAATCGGAGATATTTACAAAGTAGGTACCTAATTACTCATAATTACTTAACGCCCAAAATTATCGAGCGTTCGCAGACTTGTACAGAAACGAAAACGTGGAAAAGAATTCAAGCGCATTATAAAAATAGATAAGCGAACATCTGTCAAGGTTTTCATTTCGTGTTAAAGGCAAAGTAACCTAACCAGTTTTTTTACATTGTTATATTCTCGGTTACGGTTGGGCCACGTTGCCCCGCCCAACGAACGCCCACTAACGGACGATTGGTCGAGGGGCTATTCTAATCACGCGATTGGACAACGTTTCTCAGCCAAAAGTGTGATTGTTTATCTGGCAAACTGTAATTGTTTATAAAAATCGAATTGAACTACGACGATCGGGAGGAAAAGGCCGATCTGGGGGAATTTTTTGAAAATTTTCCCACCATAAATTTGATTACAGGCTTTGAATTACGTCATCCTAAAGTACATATGTGGTCGCTGAAAATTATCTGGGAATTAATTAATTTAATTTGCTGCTGATAATTATCTGGTTGTTGTTTTACTCTTTCTTGGGGTAGGTAATACTTTTTTTATCGGT